TCAAATAACTAATACATCTATTCCTCTAGACATAGCGAGTGCTTCATACACACTGATAGACCACAGGAAGACCTCTGGAAAGAAGGTTAACAATATAGCACTGACAGTGGTATGTCGTGGGAAAGTTGTACTCTCCTTATGCCCAGGGAAGACAAACAGGTAGATGACAAGCAATCCTGATATGTAGTTCATTAGAATTACATTCTGTACTTCCAGCTATTTGGAAGTTACCAAGTGTGTACTGACATCTTTTTGCTGCAAGGGAGCTCTGGCAATTGCTGTTTTCTTTGTGGTACTAGCAAAGAGGGAACTACGTATATGGGGAACCATTTTGGTAAGCTTTGTAGTTCTCAAAAAGAAGCAGTTGTTCCTTAGCCATTAATTCACCACCATCAACTTTCAAATGTGGCAAGCTTGAGTTAGTTTGAATAACTCAACTAAAGTAAGAAGCTCAAAACAGGGATGGGGGTGGTTGGTGGGGGCAGTTATTAAGCCTCCTGCTTTCAAAGATGTAAGACAGCATTCCCCAGAAATTTATCCACAATTACCTATAAAGCAGAGTAAAGCAGAGTCTTTGGAATCTTATTTCTGGTACACAGAGACTGTCCTAAATTACTTAAAAGTATCATTTTGAATGTGTGACTTAAGCATATGTTTTTCTCCTTATTCAAGAATAATGTAGGTGGTTACAGAAAAATCACTATTTGAGTCTGGGATGGAAGATGGAACAGCATCTGGGTCCGCGGAGCAGGTTAATTCAAAAAATACAGTCTCAAAGGGTAGGCTGTGTTCTCTACTGCCGAACGCAGTTAGATTTACTCTAATTCTAAGTGTACTGAATCTGTATACCACTCAATCTATCTAGCACCCTACCAAGGAACATTATAGCTGTTGCTTAATAACAAGTGGTCAAACTAATCATACAATGAAATTCAAACTAGAAAAAAAATCTAACTATGGCTATTTCTGCTCACACAGAAGTAGGTCTCCAGATGAGAAGCCGTGAAAAGAACTCGAGAGATGCCACCCTGTTCTCGTGAACTGAATGAGCAAAGCTCAGCGCAGCAAGGCTCTTGCAATGGCAGCCCATCCTCTCCCTAAGAAACAGGATTTATATGCTAGAAAGCAAAGCGCGTGACTCAGCTCTGAGAGAAAGTTAAGTGTTTAAAACTTGGGGAAAAACATATTATGTAACAATTGAAAATAAAAATTTAAGAATATTTCCCTGTGATAAAACTGTAATTAAGTGTTATTTAACTGTTTCCTCTAATGACATTCATTTTAATTAGGTTTTAATAGACTGGCAGCCACAACCTATAGTTTTATAAAGCAAAGTAAAATTGCAGTCTAGGAATACATTTAAGAAAAGAGAGCCATCAACACAGATGAGAGGTTACAGTATATCCCCTCATCCCTAGACCCCCGCAGTAATTAAGTGTGCTGAACAGACAGCCATTACAGCTAACAGTAGGTGTGCTCACCCCCAATCAGCACTGGGTTGTTCTTTGAAATCCAAAGGTTATTTCTGTGATCTGCTTTCCAGAAAATTTGCATGTCACAGAATAAAGAATGTAATTCAAGAGGTGTGTGTTCTATAGATTCTACTAAATATGTAGCTTCTATCAAACGTACAACCTCTACCATTACAATGGGGCTTTCTATTTTAATATATACCTTTTCTTATAGCTGATTATGATACAACATTACTCATCTTGTGAACACTGGCGTATGTCTGGGAAAATGAACATCATGCAGAGAAAGTAAAATTAATATTTGAAAAACTGACTCATGTACAAGATAAATGTATCTGCAAATGAGATGCAATAAACAGGACCTTAAGAGTATGCATCTGTACCTATTTCATACTACATTATGAAAATCAGGGAGTAAATCACAAAAGTTAACTCATACCAAATGAATGTCATAGGCATTTATATTAGAAAAGAAAAACAGAATAATCAGTCCCTTTGTTAGCTGGAGCATGGGGGGAAGAAATTGGGCCTGTGGCTACCACAGATAAGTTTTCATATATTCACTTGAAAGAAAGAAAAAGTTAAAATAAATGTTACTTTTACAATTAATTTTGAAACATCAACACTTAAATTTTCATAAATCACATGTAAGCAGGAAATTTTAAATCTTGGGGAGGGGGACACTGGGCTGCATGAAAAAGATTTTGTAATCTTCTGGCTGACAATCTGATGGCTCCAAATCCATCTGCCAAGAAGCAGAGTTACTTGGCTAGCATACTCTCACTTGTACACTTGCATCAGATTAAGGCTTTCATGCCAGGAATCTTTTTTTTTTTTTCCTGGTGTACTGGCCACTGCCAGAAATGGACCCAATGAATCCACCACTGCTAAGGAGTTAAGCATCTGAGATTTAATTTAACAGTTTCAGCTTTATTAAGCTGTCACAGAGCGGCCCCACTTTGATAACAGTAGCTGCTCCAATTATGGCTTGGTTTAGGGTTGACAAGTATAATGATTCATTCGTGGCACATGAGAAGCAATAAAAGGTTGTTTTGCATTACAGCTTTAAAAATGTGGGCATTTTTTTCATTTAATTTGTCACTTAGCTTTTGCTAAGAGGACATTTAAATTGCAGTAAAAGGCAAATGGGGCTTTTAGTTTAAATGTAATCCCCATATTTAAATGATCTGTAATGGCGCGGTGTTGGAGTGGGAACACTATTGTCTCACAGTGGGTCCTGATGGTGACATGTGACATTTGTATTCAGGTCCTGTATTATCCATGTGGCTAAAGGGCTTCCAATTTCATTTCACAGCCAGAAGCCTGCAGAAAACACCAATTAACTTGCAGATCCCATTTGCCGACAAAACTCAGCCTCTTCTCAATGTCTGGCATCTGGCAGTGCTCAGCATTTAATTCCAAAGCAGAGCCTTGAAGCAATGTGAGCTCTGTGTAGGGGCACAAAGTCAAATTGCCCCATTTTATTAAGAAGCAAAAGCCTTTCCTTTTGTAGTCCAGAAGCAACTTTTAGTTAATTTTTTGGTGAATGAATATTAAGATGTGATACTTACTGTTACTTCTACGTGAGAATCTTCACAGAATTTAGACCCCGTTAAAATGGCAAGTGACCTCTGCTTGCCATCAGAGTACATAGGAGAATTTCTAGCAGTCTAGTAATGATGGGGTGGTGGGTGGGGGGCACACAGGACAAGAGGTTGTGGTCTTTATGCTGGACTGAAATAAAAGAATTTGTATAAAGCCTGGTCCTTAATTAGAAAGTAGTCCATAAGAGGGCATAACTAGAATCAGCTGGTGGAAACTTCCACCTAATAAAAATTTATACTTCTGATTGAGGGTTAAGGTACGTAATTTTCAAAACCCACTTGGAAAAGTGAAATCTGACCATGAATTAAATGTGAACACTGCAAATTTTATTTGACTGTATCACCAGTACCTTTTTTGGTAACCAAAAAATTTAGTTGCTATTTTCTTCCTAACCAGTCATTTGTAATTCTAAGTTTCTCTAAGTACCAAAGCCATGTAAAATTGCATTCATTTAATATTTAATTCAATAATTTTTCCTTAAATGATCCCCTTCATTATAGTTTTCTTAATGCTAATCCTGTTTACTTTATAAACCATCTAACCAATCTAGTCTGTACTACAGAGTTACAAAACTGAAAAAGATTTACTTGAAAAGTAAAACATTCAGGATTTTATGAAAATATTTATTTAAACCATGCATTATACTTGTGTTCTCTAACCACCACACTGTGTCCCCAAACATCATTCTAATACATGGAAACTATCTATTGTAGTTAGATTGATTTACATTTTGATTGGGGGAAAGGGCATTACTATTATTTTAGGAGACTCAAAGAAAGCAGCAAGATTAAGTTATTACAAGATACTTAAGAAAATTTCCAGGGAAAACGTCAACAAATATCTAATAGTTCACAAGTAGTGAACTTGTCCACAGCCAACTCCTGAACGTATATCCTATTAATAGGAAAAAGGAAATACTGGTGTCAAATCCTTTACCAACTTGCTGCATAACCCTAGATTATACAGTGTCATGTTTGAAGTCTCCTAACCTCTCTGGACTTGTTTCCTTATCTGTAAAACAGCTAATCTCAAATACCCCTTCCGATTATGATCATTTGGTATCTTCACAGACGACAGCATCTTTTGGTTTAGACTACACCTGGGATCAATCAGCATGATGTGGTCCATCATTAGTCAAGAAAAATTTCACTGAGACTAGGATCTTCTAGTAAATATAGACAACATTACTTCTCATAAAATTAATACAGGCACTGATATATTTGTCAAAATTTCAGGTGTAACTTATAGATTTCTTAATAAAAAGACAAGATAATGAACACATCATTCATTATTTCCCTAGCGGTGAACATTGGGTACCAAGACTCATCCAAACAAAATTCCCAGTATTCTTTTAATGAACATGACTAGTGGATTTCTCATTTTTTTGAACACTTGCTATATTTGTATTTTTAACCACCAGGAATTTAGGAAGCAATAAATATTAGAATTTGCTGTATTTTTCCATTCTGAGGATCAACAGTTCATTTAAATCTATAGTAGCCAAAAATAAAATGAATATCCAAACTAATTTCAACAATTCCACTGTGGGGAGAAGGGGGAAGACTAAATTTTAGCTGAATTGATTACAATATTAATCTAGAAATAAGTAGCCAGCTCTACCATATAAAACTGCTATTTTAAAATAATACAGCTTTTTTTTCCCCCCCAAATACTTAAAGGGAGATTCCTGCACTTAACTTTCCTTGAGATCAGGCAATTCCCCCAAAACTCTGCCAAGGTTGTTTTCTGTAAATGCCAGCCCAAGTTCTAAATCCTCCTATGCTTCTAACCTATATATTGGCAACATGTTCCATGTATGAGCAGCTCTCTCTTCAGCAATACTACGACCATGTTCTTGAAACATCTGACTATGGTATTTATCCATATGCAAATCAATGGTAATTTGTCGGGAAACATGCTTACCCAGCTCATCCCAGAGCTGCCTGTATTTGTCAGTCATTGCAGTGCCTTGTTGTCGCCAAAGTGACAGGCGAGGGTCAGCCATGAATTGCTCTGTTATCAAGGTCAACATGCGGGCCCCATTGGAGTCCCTCATCTTTAACATCTCCCGCACCTAGTGGGGAAAAACAGACCTTTGGAAAATTGTTCAAAACAAAAACACAACAAAACCCCACAGCAACACAAGAGACAAACCACCACTTTTCTCTGTTTCTCTGTGTGTGTGTGTGTGTGTGTGTGTGTGTGTGTGTGTGTGTGGTGGGGGATGGGCAGGAGGAGTCAAGCCTTCACACCAGCCCTCTTAAGCAAACAAAATATATAATTTAAAACCATTCCCTACTCTAAATAGCAATTTAATCAAAGAAATGCCCATTCATTATTTTGAATTACACTTTAGAATCCATATGAAGAAAAAATGCTCTCAATTCCAAAAATGTTCTGGTTGGGTCTTACACACTGATTAAGGTGAGTAAATCGTGTTTCCTGTGTCCAGTAGAAACTTCCTTTTTTTTTGAGACAGAGTCTTGCTCCGTCGCCCGGGCTGGAGTGCAGTGGCCGGATCTCAGCTCACTGCAAGCTCCGCCTCCCGGGTTCACGCCATTCTCCTTCCTCAGCCTCCCCGAGCAGCTGGGACTACAGGCACCCGCCACCTCGCCCGGCTAGTCATTTTTGTATTTTTTAGTAGACGGGGTTTCACCGTGTTAGCCAGGATGGTCTCGATCTCCTGACCTCGTGATCCACCCGTCTCGGCCTCCCAAAGTGCTGGGATTACAGGCTTGAGCCACCGTGCCCTTCCGAAACTTTCTTTACCAGTTCTCCTTCAAATTATCTCTCTCATCTAAACCAAGTACACTTTGTGATTCAAGATTACACTCCAACAAAGTAGGCATTCATGCTTTGACAAACCACAGAAGTAAAATCTGGCACTGGGAACAGGTATCTGAACCTACCTAGTTTACCAAAACAGGTTTAAGCAAGGTGCTGCTGTTTCCTTGCATAAAATGAGATGCCATAATTTTAGTAAGATGCCATAACTTTGCTAGCCTAAAGAAATACAATACCAAAACAAACATGACAAAAATGGAGCACCTTCCTGACTCTCCAACTGATTATACTTACCATCAGAGAAGTAGAGCCTAATGCAGAGTCCACTGAGAACTCAAGAAATATTCTAAGTAGATCTGATAATGTGTATAATAATAACACTTGGCCTTTAGTTTTTTTAGGAACAGCTTTGTTGAGACATAATTCATATATCATACAATTCACAATTTAAACTGTACAATTCAAAGGTTTTTAGTATATTCACAGTTGTGCAAGTCCTTCAATTTTTGAGATAAATTAGTAATTGCATAAAGGTTCTCTCTCACTTAAGTTTTTTTTATATAAAGAGCAGCAGCATACTTCTATTGCAATGGTAAAAGAAAATTGACAGAGCTGTTAAGTTCAAGAACTCTCTTGCTCTATATGGGTGATCCACGAAGCAGAATAATAACCACAGATCTAATAAGTTAACTTTGCCTCTCAGGTTGGAACTTTAAGCTTTGTCCATTACTCTTGTGCTACATTTTCCAAATAAAAGAAAAGAAAAAAGAAACACAAGGGTAAACCTCTCTGCAGGAAGCCCTAAATGAATCCATCCACTCCAAAAATGTGTACTGCTAAGTATTCAATAAGTAAGAATCTCAGCTGTAATTTCCCTGTAAGAAATTACTGGAGCAAGGTCACGAGCAGTAGAAAAGGTGGGGTGGTTGATCCTTCTTTCAGGACTCTCTCTATGTGAAAGGCAAGGAAAGGAGAAAACAGTAGATCCTCAATAAAGCAGCCCAAATCTAAAATAGATCCTGCCTGATGTCTGTACCCTCAAGAAATGGAACTTCCTCACCTACTTTAGAATTTAAGCTTTATAAAGAACTCAAAAGCACTTCTACCCTGAATCACAAAGGTTGTGCTTCCACGAGCGTTACTTCAGTATTCCTATAAAGGAGTTTGTTCCTAATATCAAAGTACTAAAAACTCATTAACAGGTGAAGATGGATGAAGCAAAGGAGTTGCCATTTTTTGGATACAATGTTAAAGAGTTTTACATTTATACTTACTGTTTAATTTTCACAACCACCATGTAAAATAGGCCAGATTATAATCCCCATTTTATTAATTATAAGACCAAGCCTCAGAGAGGTAAAATAATTTGCCCAATGGACAAGGGGAACAGCTTGGATCAGAACCTGTATCTGTCTTAACTTCAAGTTACGCTAATTCCAAAATTAGAGGTTGCTATTACTTCACATGGCATACATAATGTATATATAATATACAGGGATAAAAAGAACAACTGCAGATCAGTCTAATAATACATCTTTCAAACTGTTTCTAACATAAGAATATATGAAATACTTCCTGTGCGTCTAAATATACTAAACCTTTTACATTATTAGTATTGTGGATTTGATTTAATGTTTATTTTTTCTGGTAGATTTCAAACCTATTATGCAGCAACAGCAATGAAAATAAACACTTTACTCTTAAGTATATAAAACGGAACTCTCTGTGTAACCAGCACTCATGTACATCTATAGCTTAATGGTAATTAATTTGCAGACTGTTGACACGGAGGCATGACATGAGTTTGAAGTGCTTGTGAATCACCAAAGAATGCTTAAATCATGTGTAAAGTAGTATTAGAGTTAAATGTATTTTACTGTAATCTAATTCTGGGGAAATTGTCAATCTACATATGGTATACAGGATAAATCTTTATAAGCATGGTATTGATTAAGCAGAATACACTATTCCTGGCCATACCCAGTAACAGGGTTTACTCTAATTCTTTTGAACTAAAAAAAAAAAAAAACAAAAAAAAAAAACAAACCTTTAATTATAACAAGTATTAGAGAAGATATTCAACAAAAGCATCAATGAACAGTTATCTGTTCCCTTAAAACCAACTTTAATACATTAATCATAATGATGACTATACCCCCCAATGAAAATATACTGATTTAATATTATTCAAAAAGCATTTTATTCAGTATTTACAAATCTGTGTATGATACTGAAACTTCTGTATAAAGCAAAACACACAGCTTCCGCTCACAAGGAACTTATGACCAAGATAATTTAAATTCTTGAGACATCAATTTTTAATGATGGAGATGAACAGCAGACAGCATCATTTAACACCATTATCACAATGATTTTAGGAAATATGTTATTTATTAACTAATTTTCTAGATGAGAAAATTAACAAATAATTTGCCAAGGTTTATATACTTAGAAAGATCTAGAACTTGGATTTAAACTGAGATCTATCTGACTCTAAAACTCAAGCTCTTGAAATTAACTTATAGATATTGACATTATTAAACTAAATAATTAAAGCACATTTTAGGGATTATAAAACTATGTTCTCTTGGGAAAATCAACTAGAAAGGGAAAAACTTGAAAAAATGGCATTTTGAATAACATTGTTAATTATTTTGCTTTTATTATTGTAAGAGGTTTTTCAAAACTGTATAAATTATCACCATTTTATTGATAGGAACTGAGAGAGACAAAAATGTCCCACATCTTGTCTAAGATCATCTAAGGGAAAAAAAAGCTTGCATTACAATACAAAAGTTTCTATTGGTCAACTAACTTAGACCCTGTTCTTTAATTTTTAAAAGAGACTTTATCCTATTGTAGACATGATCATATTTAGATAGTCCCTATATATGTATATATTTAGAATATTTCTTTAGAAACAGACAATCATACCTTTGCAAAGAGCAAATTAAGCTGCTTCCCTGATCCGTGGTACCCGCCCTGGGAAAGGAACAGTTTAACCTGTTCTTGAACCTGCTCTTCATCTAAGTGCCAGCAGTTTTCATCATCTATACTAGCACCTGCTGTTGGATCGGGAGCACCTAGAAATAGAAAGAAAAATAATAACACACAGGCTAGATAAAAACTCTGTGCTAGAAGGATTAAGACTCTTTTTGCCTACTTTTTAATTCAATCTCAATTTCAATTATACATACAAATTTATGACAAAGTAAATACAAGGATCACTCTCATTTCCAGAACTCTCCTGATTTGTGCTAAGCCAAATGCAGATTACTTTAGAACTGAGATATTCCTATTTTTTAGGTTCAGAGACTATTATCTTTGGAGATGAGTTTATAGGTTCTCTAAAAAATCAAATTCACAAAAGTGTTTCATTGTAAATACATGATGTTTATAAAGCTGTGTAGGCCACGCTGGAAAAAATGTTTTTCAAAGACTTTAGAAAAATATGAGACAAGTTAACTCAGCAGAGTATTTCTCTCTTTACTATGTTAATTCAATAAGTTTTCACCATTATCTGCTGCTGTATAAACTACATGCTGACATAAGTCTTTAGTTGCAGAAAACCGCAGATTAAAAAGGGAAATCAAGCCACATGGGAACAGGCAGTGCAGCTGTTGTATTAAACCAGGTTGTAGTATCACCTTGCCAAACTGCATAAATATTTTATTGCTGAAGTACACACAAAGATAACAGCTATGTAATAAGCCCTGTGTGTAAAGACTACCTTAGAAATTTAAAAACTACCCAGATATTTAGGCAGGTAGATTGTTTCATTATTTGCCAATAAAATAAAATGGTATTTTAAGGTCTAAGTTTCAAAAGTAATATATAAAAAATTTAGATCTAAAAATCATTCATCCTCAGTGTTTCATCTGCTTATCAACCCTTTAAAAAAATACATCTGTAGGTGTGGTTTTGTATTACTTTTCCTGTCTTCTAATGATCTAAAGCAGACTCAATTAACCAAAGAAATAATCACTAGCATCTGCTTAGAACCAAGGTCTACTAGTCCCTAGTAGAGGAAGGCAGTGGGTCCCTGAGCCTGCCTGCAAAAGTATATGTTCATTCATTCATTCAGCCAGTCAACACATTTACTGAGTGCCTGACTCAGTGCCAGCCTCTCTGCTAGACTTGGGGATAGAATAGTGTACAAAATAGAATTCCTGTCCTCACTGAATCTATAACCTAGTTCAGAGGCTTTCAAATTTTGCTGAACAAGACCCCACCATAAGAAATATATTTTACATCATGCCTAATATGTTTATGTGTCTGTGTGTTTACATAATTAATCTGCAAAAATTTGATGAAAGAAAGTGTCCTTACTATAAGCAGAGGTTCAATACTTTCTACTCTATTTCATTTTTTAAAGATGGCTTGTCACAATTTTTAAAACTGATTTTACAACCTATAACGGGGTGGCCACCCACTATTTGAAAAACACTCTTTTAGGTTTTTGAGATAAATATCAATCTAATAATCATATATACAAACGTATAATAAATGGTAATAACTGCTCAGAGGAACAGGGCAGGGTGATGGAAGACTATCATTAGAGAATTCTGGCTTTGGATTGCTAGGGTAAGCATACCTTGATGAAATGGCACTGAGGTGAGACCTGCCTTAAGTGGATTAAAAGCTAATTAAAAATGAACTAAAGGTCAGGAAAGGAGGGAAGGGTCTGCATGTGAGAAGAACTTGAGCATAACCCTTAGGCAGGAAAAAACATGGTGCATGGAAGAAATAAAAGGCACTCTATGCAACCCAAGGATAGAAGATGAGAGGAAGAGTAATACAAGATAATCCTCGAGAAAAGAAGCAGGGTCAACTGAGTGCCTTGGTTGGTGAGGAGGTTAGTTTTTTTCCCTGAGAGTAATGAATGGGAATTCATGACAAGTTATCAAAATGGAAGAAAGAAAAACTCTAAATAATAAAAGATGTTTTGTCCTGATATGCATCAGTTTCAACATTCCTACCAAGAAATATTATGCAGCCATAAAAATGAATGTGGAGCTTCTCTATGCATTACAATGGAAAGATATCCAGGATACACTGTTGATTGAAAAAAAATCAAGGAGAATAAAAATATACACAGTATACCACTTTTCAGGCAATTAATGATGTTTATACTAGATAGACTAACCAAGAAAAGGAGAAGAACCAAATAAATAAAATCAGAAATGAAAACAGAGCCATTAAAATTGATACCACAGAAATAAAGAAGATGATCAGAGACCTATTATGAAAAACTATATGCCCCAAAACTAGAAAACCTAGAAGAAACAGAAAAGCCTGAGCAGACCAGTAATGAGTAGCAAGACTGAATCAGTAATAAAGAATCTCTCAGCAAAGAAAAGCCCAGGATCAGATGGATTTACAGCCTAATTTTACCAAACGTAGGAAGAACTAATACGAATTGTCTTGAAACTGTTCCAAAAAATCAGAAGACAGAATCCTCCCTAACTCATTATACAAGGCTAATGTCAGCATGGTACCAAAACTAGACAAGGACACAAGCCAAAAAGAAAACTACAGACCAACATCCATGATGAACACAGACATAAAACTCTTTAAATACTAGCAAATCCAATCCAACAGTGTGTCAGAAAGATTATACAGCATGATCAAATGGATTGTACACCAGGGATGCAAGGATTGTTCAACATGCAAATCAAGAAATGTGATACCAGAATAAAGAACAAAAAACACATGATTATCTCAAGAGACACAGAAAAAGCATTTGTAAAATGCAGCACCTTGTCATGATAAAAAATTCTCAGCAAACTAGGCATAAAAGGAACATATCCCAAAATAATAAAGGCCATATACGAAATACCCACAGTCAACATCATACTGAATGGGGAAAGGTTGAAAGCATTCTAAGAACTGGAACAAGACAAGAATGCCCATTTTCACCACTCATATTCAACATAATGCTGGAAGTCCTAGTCAGAGTAATCAGTCACGAGAAGTAAATAAAAGGCATCCAAATTGGAAAAGAAGTCGTCAAATTATCCCTGTTCACGGATCATACATTCTTCCATCTAGAAAAACGTGAAGACTCCACCAAAAAGTGATTCAATTTGATAAACGAATTCAGTAAAGTTGCAGGATGCAAAATCAACATACAAAAAGTGTGTTTCTATATGCCAATAACAATCTACCTAAGAACCAAATCCTACTTACAATAAGTACCAAATAACAAAATAAAATACTTAAGAATATATTTAACCAAGGAGGTAAAATATTTCTACAAAAAAACGATAAAAACAGTGATGAATGAAATTAAAGATGACACAAATGGAAAAATATCCCATACTCATGGATCAGAAGTATTAATATAAGTAAGATGACCCTATTGCCCAAAGCAATCCACAGATTCAAAGCAATCCTTATCCAAATATTGACATTTTTCACAGAATTAGAACAAACAATCCTAAAATTCATATGGAACGAAAGAAAGAGCCCAAATAGCCAAAGCAATCCAAATAAATAAAAAGAACAAAGCTGAAGCATCATATTACCTGGCTGCAAATTATATTACAAGTCTATAGTAACCAAAACAGCCTGGTGCTAATATAAAAATAGACACATAGACCAATGAAACATAACAGAGAACACAGAAATAAAGCCACACATTTACAACCAACTGATCTTCCACAAAATTCACAAGAATATACACTAGGGAAAGGACACCCTTTTCAATAAATGGTGTCCTTTTTGGAAATAAATTTCAAAAAATTGCATAGCCACATGCAGAAGACCAAAGTTGGACTCCTATGTCTCATCATAAAATGTAAGACCTGTAACTATAAAAATACTAGAAGAAAACCTAGGGAAAATTCTCCTGGACACTGGTCTAGGCAAAGCATTTATGACAAAGACCTCAAAAGCACAGAAACAAAAATAGAGAAATGGGACGTAATGAAACTAAAAAGCTTCTGTACAGCAAAGGAAATAACAGAGTGTAGAGAGAACCTGCAGAATGGAAGAAAATATTTGCAAACTATTCACCTGACAAGGAACAAAATCCAGAATTTACAAGGAAATCAAACAACTCAACAACAACAACAACAAAGCCCACAAATAATCCCATTAAAAAGTGAGCAAAGGACATGAGACATTTTTCAAAAGAAGACCATCACTAACCATGAGACAAGTGCAAGTCAAAACCACAATGAGATATCATCTTAAACCAGTCAGAATTGCTATTATTAAAAAGACAGAAAATAACAGATGTTGATGAAGATGTGGAGAAAACAGAGCTCTTATACACAGTTGGTGGGAATATAAATTAGTATAACATCTACGGAAAACAGTATGGAGATTTCTCAAATAACTAAAAATAGAACTACCATTCCATCCAGCAATCCCACTACTGGGTATCTACCCAGAGGAAAAGAAAACATTATATGAAAAACACCTGCACTCCTATGTTATATCACAGCATTTTTCATGATAGCAAAGATATGGTATCAATCTAAGTGTCTATCAATGAATGATGCGGTACAGATACACAATGAAATACTATTTGGCCATAAAAAAAAAAGAATGAAATCACATCCATGCAGCACCAAAGATGGAACAAGATGCCATTATATTAAGTGAAACAAATCAGACACAGAAAGACAAATACCACATATTCTCACTGGTAAGTGGCAGCTTATGTACAGAAGGGCATGGAGTGTGTGGAATGATAGACAATGAAGACTTGGAAGAGTTGGGGGGTGGGTGACGAGAAATTACTTAATGGGTACAATGTACATTATTCAGGTGATGGATGTCCTAAAGCCCAGACGACACACCACCATGAAATCTATGCATGGAACAAAATTACTCTTGTACCTCAAAATTTATACAAATAAAAATGATAATAAACAAAATACACATAAATAAATAATGAGGTTTATAAAAGAGCTTACATATTAGTATCTCCTTATATATGTATAAAATATTTTGGAAGGACATTTGAAAGAGTACAGGTAACCTAGTTACATGGGGGAAGGAGACATCATTTAAAATTATGGAACCATGTGAATATATTTATGTATCAAAAAATAACTTTATCTGAAATATGGGG